ATAGGTAAATAGATGTAAAATACCTGTCCAGACCTCGTTCTGTTATCATCAACACCACTTTCGTCCAAAAGCTTTGTCGATAGAACCTCCCACGCTTTACAAAACTGAGACACATACCAAAAGAATCAAATCAGCTAAACAATAAATTAACAAACTAATGTAAAAAATTAAACAAACAGCAAACAATATGCACACGACCTCTAAAGGTAAATGAAAACAATATATGCATGACAAACAATTTGATTTATCAAAATCGTAGCTGTATAAAAAACCATAATGGTGAAAACTATCTAATGGGCACAGAGAAAATAATACCTAATTCTCTGGCCGATCAACAATATATATAGCTTTAAGATTAGGGCAAACATCAATTATTATCTTAAGAAATTTAACTTTTTAATTAGAAACAAAATCAGAAAACTAACAAAAACGAATATTAACTACTAAGATATAGAATTATCTAAAAAATTAACAAATAAATTTAAGTTAAGATTCCATAATCATTAAAGTCGAGACATTATGACATCCGTATCCCCAACGATTACACTATAAAATAAAAAAATTTAAGGGTGATTAAGACTAATCATCTCAAAATACGATTAGACTTATATACCCTTAACAATTAAGAACAAAAAATTTCGAAATTGAGGGTGTTTGAGACATTATTATAGAGATCAACACACGATTAGACTTATATACCCCTAATTACGAAGAAGAAGAAATTTCGAGAAGAACAATTCATTAAGGGTGTTTAGGACAAATCATTCCAACTTTTAACCACAGGCCTCCAATGCCCTAACTTTGAATGTGGTGCGTTTCTACTTCTCAAATAATTATTGTAGAGATATCTGTTAAAAAAAATTTGACCAATGGTATAATTTACTGCAGAATATAAATAGTAAAAAAATTGTTTAAATTAATGTTTTGCATAGAACTTGAATTGTTTTTTTAAAACATCATATATTATGAAACAAAAAAAAAAAATTCGAAAGTATGTAATATTAAAATGTAATTAAAAAAAAAATGAGGAAATCTAGGCGAAAGTATATCAGACTTGACGTTCAGCACA